CCTTTTGAATTAAAAGTACTTAAGGAAGTAAAATTTCTCTTCAGATCTAGAACGTGACTCACTACATCAAGTGTTCTAACTTTCCATCAAACATCTTTATTCTGACATAGCCAATACCAACTATCCAACAATGTGTATAATTACCGATCGTCACAACACCTTTTGAAACTTCTTCATATGTTAAAAATAAATTCTCATTAAGACACATATGAAAAGTGCAAATTGTATCAAGAATTTGAGCCTCGTCAGGTTTGGAGTTGTAGTTAAACGTAAGTAAAAGCTCTCCATTACTGTTAAGATGTTTTGCAATACTTGATTTCCCTAAAGTTTCTGATTGTCGATTTGCAATCAACGTTGCTTTATTCTACAACTTATAACAATCGTTTATCAAGTGTGCATTTTTCTTGCAATAATTACAAATTTTGAAGTTAGATCTTGACTTGCCCCTTGCACGACCACCATCAATAATGAGACCATCTCCATGAATTTCAGATGCAACAAGATGCTTTATCTTCTTAAAGCATAAAGTATCATAGACTTCTTCCATGGTGGGAGTATTACGATTATATAAAATTGTATCTCTAAAAGACATGTTTGAAACGGGCAATGAACATAATAAAATCAATCCCAAATTTTCTTCATCATATTTGACCTCCAAAGTTTCTAAATTAGCGACGATTTCCTTAAAAGCAGTTAGGTGATCCTCAAGAGATGTACCTTCTGTCCTACGATGAGAATGTATGTGTTGTTTCTGAAGCAATTTGCTAGTAAGACTTCATCATGCATAATTGCCAACTTCTTTACTTTTGGTCCTCGAGGGCTAGCGTAAATGTGGTGAAAAAACCCCTTGTTCCATAATTTCAACCCCTTCAAGTCCAACACAAATTTTAACTTCCAATAGGGCTTCCAAATATAATTTCAACTAGAATTTTTCAAGTAAACTTGAATAGAATTCTACAATAGCATGGCAAACAAAATCTCTCTTAACGTGCACTTTAATTAGAATTCTCAATTATCTTTAACAAAGAACTCAAGTCACATCCAATTTCTAACAAAAGCAAATATATCTGTATGGGATGGATGTAGTATAATCTTTCCTTAGTATTATCATTTACTAGAATTGAGTATCTCACTGATTCCTTTTGGTAAATTCGAATGGCATGTCGGTAGACTTAAGATCTATGGTAGACTCAAGCTCAGGTTGTCATATCAAAGACGTGGATTGAGTAACTAGCTAACAATGTGTACGAATTAAGGTGATTCTATTATGAAAGTGATAATTACTTCGACTTAATTTCTTAGTGAATAAAAACATGAAGCTCGAAAGATTTTCCTTATAACCGAGCTCATTTTAATTTGAGTTGGGCAATAGATGCTTCAGCTTTTCGTCTCGTAACGTTGAATTTGAGTTGACATCTAATTCGAGATTTTTTGCATGACGCGTGCTAAAGAGTATAACAAAAACCCTTTATTCATACGTATAATTGAGTAATAATAATTTTTTTATTTTTTGTAAGAATAAGCATATTAAAATAAATAGCACTTATCCATTTTACTTTTTTATTAGTGGATTTCTGGTCGGCACGCTACTTTGTCATGAAAAAGTTGCTATAATTATTTTATGCAATACATTATTAATTTTATTAATCCTAGTGTAATTGTTGACTTGCACTGCCTTCTAAGTTTTAATTAATTAATATGAAGTAAACCGTCGACGGTTTTGATGGTTTGTGGGGCACAGTTTTGTATTGTAATAATAATGTCTTCGAAATTGTATGGTCCTTTTCTTATGCTTCAAGTCTCTCCAATCTCCATCTTTTATTGGTAATTACGAATTAGAGCTACAAATGTTGTTGGGTTAGGGTTAGGGTTAGGGTTAGCAATCATCTTCAACATGTATATGTTTGTGCATGAATTGAATAAAATGTTAAAATCACAATGAAATAGGTGGGCGATGTAGGGTCAATTCTCAATCTGCAAATGATTTATTATGAATTATGTAGGTTGTGCTTGTGTTAGTAGTGGGCCCCAATTAGTACATTTAAATATGCACGCCTGCTGATGTGGCAGGAGAACCCTACGTGGGGTTCTCTCCAAATGTGAGAACCCCCCGGTGGGTTCTCTCCGAATGGGCATTATAAGCTTGCCCGCCGCGGGCAGGAGAACTCTTCGAGTGGGCATTATAAGCTTTAACTCGTCAATAAACTAGTCACCCAAAATATATTTTTCAATAGGGGTGGACAAAATGATCAAATCAAACTAGACAAAACTAGAATAGAAAGGAATCGAACAATTCGGTTCAATTTTACAAAAACAAAATAAAATGGTTTTGGTTCTTAGAACCAAGAACCAGACTCAATTTGTATTAATTTTTTAGTCTATGCGCATTTTTTACAAATCAATGAATCCCATCAAAAAATTGAAATTTTGTCATTGACTCATTCATCTACATTAGTAAATCACTGTCATTAGAAAATATTTTATCTATGGATGAAACTTGATGTTTGTGTATTCAAATTATGGCTATGTTTTATTTGTTAGCTTGGATTTTTGTAAATGAATTTTATTACATAATATTTCATTTGATGAGTGATAATTTGAAGTTGAATTTGTTGAACGTTAGATATTTAATTTTTTGACTTACGTATATATTAATAACTTATAGATATAGTGATATATTTTAATTTGCATTTATCATTTGAAGATTTAAATAATTGAACCAAACTAAACCATAATCGAGTGGTTCATCTCTGGTTTGGTTCATAGTTCGGTTCGATTCTCTTAAAATCAGAATCAAACGAAATCTTATCCACATCTATGTTTCAATATTTGCAAATACCCTCCAAATCACCCATCGAACAACAAAAGAGAATAAATGGACCTTCCACAAAAGAGACTTGAGGAAATTTCCGATACTTTCACAAAGATAATGACTGTGACACAAAGGATTGTCGGCAGTTGACGGAGGAGCGAGCGACTACAATATATGGATACTTGTCGAAGTTTGTGAAGGCCAACAATGGGAAGGGAAAAACTGAAGGATGAACACAGAAATCCTCTCTTATAAGCCGCTTTTGGTCAATTAACCAAGAATCAAGTTCCAAAAATGCTACCAATCAAGAACTAGGTTAGCTGCTAATAAATAATCTTAGTTGTCATGTAGTTTCTTTTATTTCATTTCCATATAATGTCAACTACTAACCCGATAGAGGTTTTTCAACAAGTTCTTTTGCTTAATATAAAAATCAATGAACGATAAAGGTGGTGAGAAGAATTAAAACCTCGAAAGGCCAACAAACTAGTAAGACGCGTAAATCTCCCATATCAGTTGGTAGACTTCCAAATCATAAATTGACAAGGGCAGGAGTTTCTTGATTGAGTAGGTAGATGTAAAAAATCAAAGAGTTGGTAAGGGGCACAAGTTTCTCAAATGTGTAGTGGACCTCGATACCTTGTACTAGCTAGGCATAAATCTCTAGATTGAGCTAGCAACCCTCCAAATGCGAAAAATTGGTAGAAGCATAACAGGACTAATCTCCTGCCCATAGTGAGCAAGAGATCCACATCACTGATGGGCAAAATATCTCCTGCTCACTATGGGCAAGAACTCAGTCTTGAGAAGCGTAAATCTCTTGATCGAGTAGGTAGACCTCAAAACCAAAAAGTTGGTAAGGGGCTAAGTGCGCTTAAACTGCTAGTGCATGATGTCAAAGAAAAGCAGTAATAAATTAATTTGAGTCTAGTTCAATCCCACTAAGATTGTATAGTGTATCTATATTTAATTTTACACACTCTTATCTAATTTATTTAGAACCATGGTATTAAAACATCAGTATAGATATCACTAATGTCGTATTAAATGAGGTACAATTAAATGAATCACGTAATTCTATCTGTCATAGAGCATATCACTTAACGCCACATAAACTAGTACTGTAGCACTGGTGTTGCTAGATAACATTATTCTATCTCTAAGTAAAGCAGATAAGGCAAGAATTGTGTATTTTTGGTTTTTAACTAAAGGCTCCTAAACAATTAAATCTATAACTAAGAAGACTTGAATATGATAAGAAATTAGGACTCTGACTCCACCTGTTTTTCTACCTTAATTCGAATAATCATGTAATTGACAATATTGAATAATGTTGACGATCGACCCATGTCCCTAAATTATGCGATATCTATCTTGAGTATATTCGAACATATTATTATGTATGAATTCCATATATCTCTATGAGAGTTGTGAATACAAAATAAAGCATTTGCCATAGCCAAGCATCATATAGGAAATAGGAATTGCATAGACCATAATGGTATCTCTTATCAGAATCTATGTTACATGTTAAAAGAGCATACAGCTCTCAAACAAACCTAAAATAATTGGCTAGTGACTAAAATAAGAGAGAAGTTTGGATTTTTGCTTCCAAGAATTGCCTTCCCATGTAGCACAAGAGTTCTACTATATATATGCACAATTTATGGTCCAAACCGTATTAAAGTTGACAAAAATACCATAATAACCTACCAAAATAGGCGCACAGCAATAAAGACACATGAGCATCGAAAAGTGGTGCTCGAGTATCGCAGCGCACCAACCTATTTTCTGAAGCGAATTGCCCCTCTGGTGAGCGAGTAGCAAGAGGTTGGCGCACGAGCTCCAAAGGCTGCGATCTTGTTTTATTACTCACTTTTCCGTCCCCATCTCTTTCATCTTTTGGTTTCCCGTGGCTTGGCTCTTCATTTGAAAGGTCAAAGTTCATCCTAAAATTGCCCTAAACCACCTCAGTTTCTTCACTTCTTTCACCTATTACATTTCCTGAGGAACGTCGAGAGAATAAGGATTCTCGATGCCTGTGGTGGCTGGCGAGTGTGGTTGCTGTTCATTTTCCCAAGATGTTATCTTTCATTAGCATATCTAATTTTGGTGGTTACGCCACCAGCTGAGGGATGAGTGTGGCTGGGGGCTGAGCTACTGTTTGCAGATGTGTGAAGAATGTCAACTAATCCATAGGTGGGAACACATCATTGTAATTTGCTCCAACCCGAGACATGAACCCAAGACATGGCTGAAGATCCCCACCCTAAAAAAGGAAAAAAAAATCCATATATAATCCAATATACAAAACATGCTTCATGAACGAAAGGAGAATTATCTCCAACAGCACAAAACTTGTATACCGACCTCGCTTGCATTCCATTTGTGGATCTTTGAGCTAACTCACACACCAAATAGAGAGAAGGTCGAAATCCTTAATATGGGTTAAACTTTCCAGCCAGAGAGCATCAAAATTATGTTTAAGAACTTATTGGCAATTTTAATTGTTAATAACAAAGTTAAAACCACACCATGGATGTAAAGAATCAATGGCCTATTACTACAAATATTGGAGCTCCCGCCTCCCGGAGATTAATTCTTACACATATTTACAAAACGAGAACCTAGAATCCATCAATTGATGACAAGGAAAATAATACAGAAAATAAAAATAAATAAAAAGATCTCCGAAAATAATGTTAGAACATGTTGGCTTTTACTCCTTCATGCTAGCAAATCAAGCTCTGACCAAGGTTTTTGAGATCGAAAAAATCACATTGCAGGGCAAGAGTACGGCCCTCCTTAGAAAATAACAAACAAAAAGATTGATGGTACATCATATTTTGTTTCTCCTTGTCCATAATTTCTCCATAACACAAGCGTCCACCCTCTTTGGATGGGTGCCATAAGAATATCTTGAGATGAAATGCTACATGTGCGGGGAATTGAAACATAACCTCAATGATACAGAGACTCTCCATAATTCACCCAATGCACAAAACTATCAGAATATTCCTCGAGGACCTCATAGTGATGGCCTTCATCATACAACAAGTCATTTCCAGTTGACCTTCCCTGAAAGTATATTGTAGGACTCGTAATATGATTATGAAAAATGATTGTCAGAAAGAAAGAAAAAAGTACGACTTTAGTTTTTATAGTAGCACGCCACTTTGTTACTTATTAGCACAAGATATATTGTGCCATAATATCAAGCACAACCTACAAATGCATTTAAATTGTTGGCGAGGTTATAAAGAAATAGGAAAATGGCGACATTGTCTATCATTTGAGAAAATAGACATGCAAACTTTACAACGGAATGTTGCACAAATCTGCTTTTTGTACCCGCATGCTCTCATAATTGCAGTTGTAGGTTAACCGTGATTCATAATAAGGGATCCTAGATGTAAAAAATTGCAAATAGATAGCACATGCAGAGGTCAATCAAAAAGGTGGACGAGGTAGACTTAACCAGATAGAGAGAGATGGAAATCGCAAGCATAAGATTAACATTCGACTTTGAGATACTTGACAAACTAAAATCAGAATGTTTGATACAAAATATTATTTACAGTAAGCAGATAATAAATATTATATAATGAGAAACACAAGCAAACTAAATAAGCACGTGCAGGTATAAGAAATCACAACAGGCCCATGTCTAATCTCTCATAGATGGATGTTCCAATCTCTATCAAAATTTTATTTGCTCATACATTTACTAAATTACTAGCAGTTTAATAAAACTAATGGAATTATCAGAATGGCGCATTAGGAGAATAGAGCTTAATACTGACAACTATGACCATCACATTTACCATTTCACAATATAACTTCTGCATGGACTGCGTAAGCATTACAATTTATAGTGGGAGAATTGCTATAGAATGATGGAAAAAAGATACTTACCCTTGTGCTAGATCCGCATTCACTGGTAGATGGGGTTGCATCGCCTGTAATTTCATTGGCGATGTTTTCTGATGAAAGTATCGCAATTGCAGAGGCTGTGAGCATTGACCTAACCAATGAAGAAAAAGTAGATAACGTTAGCTTCCTTGAAACTCCAACTAATCCATCCTCATTCTCCAACTCCTCCAACCCAACCCCGGGCTAGACAACCCAACAAAAAAAGTTTCAGAAAAGGTATTTAGGTTCTTACGCAACCCTAGAGTTAGCTACATCAAAAGGAAGAGGTAAGTTGACAATATTAGCTAAGCAAAAAAGTAATTATCTCTAATGCTTGGACTCTTCGAAATGGACGAAGTACCCGTGTCGACACGACACGACACGGGTATGAGATATGTGTCGGATCTTCCAAATTTCAACTGGACATTTCACCTTTTTGCTTCTTTCTTTCCTGTTTCTGCTCTATGTAAACACAGCGGCGCTAGATTTTTCCTTTTTTCTTCTTTCTTTCCATTTTCTTCCTTTTTTTCCTTCTTTCCCTCTCTGTATCGATGGTTTAGAGTTTTCTTTGTATAAAATGAAAATGGATTCCATATAGTGTTCCACAATCGCAATCAAGTCTCTCATTTCCTTCTTTGTGAAGAATTGATTTTAGTCTATTTAAAATGACATTTTAGGTTAGTTAAAAAAGTTGAAGCTTGAAAGACGTACATATCCCTGTTTGAAATTTGGACTCTTTTTATCCATGTCCCGATATCCTATATTTTAAAAAAAAAAATCAGATACTTAAATACGTACCCATACCCAAGTCCGAGCATCATAGGTTATTATACTACCGAGCATGATCTAATATTGATGGGTATAAGAGACAAGAAGGATAATCAATTCCCGATTCCATCGGAAGGTGATGATCAAGCTGAGTTTTAAGTCCTAGTTGGGTTCACCTAATTAACATTGTACCGTAGTTAAGCACAAAATAATTATGCATCCGCCATCCAGCAAAAGATTCCAATTGGAACACATTTAGTGATAAGTAATTAAAAGAGCCAAGAGATACTATCAAATCACAAACATCTTCATTAGCCAGGGTTAACAATTCACAGAAACAAGTACGCAAACCTTTGGTGCATTTGGAAAGGACCTTAGTATTTATAAAAGTTCAAGGAATGTGAAATGAGAAAACTCATGCTTTCTATCCAGGTTAAGCAATTACACATCACTAGATTTACAAGTAACAAGCGTAAGAGGAACAAATTACTAATGAAGAATGAGTGACTGAGGTAAGATATACAAATGAGACCTCAACGAAAAAAATATGGCTGAAACAGACATGCAAAGATTAGCAATGAGACAAGATTTACTAGAAAAGCTCAGGAAAGATAAATCACAGGCAACAAAATTACATTCTTGATTTTCTTGGCAAGTTAATTTTCCATGAAGAAGGGGACCCATATAACCAACCCTAGATAAGCATGGGATAAGTCGATTGAAAATTAGGAACTCCTTCAATTACAACAAACAAGGATCCTTTTAGCACTATGGTTTTAAATCCGTTGAGTAGTTACACTTAATAAAATCAAATAAATATCAGTAGAAGTACTACCTTTCCAACAACTCATCCTCACATGAATTTCCAGAGGAAGAAAGCCAATCTAAGTCAACAAAGTTTGAGCTGTCAATTGAGTCCCCATGCTCATGTTCAAGGCATCTGTCTTTTTGCATTTCAGCAAAAAGTACCCTAGCAGGCATTGAAGGAGCATATCTACAAACACACACACAATTAAAAAAAAGGGAGGAAGATGAGCCCGAGAAATTCATTTTTTCTTAAATGGACTCCTTTTTGCAAATGAATTCATGCACAAATCCTTTAGGCAGAATAATTGCACATACAATATGCAATAAATACATATGATAGATAGATAGTGGACCTTTTTCTGAAGTTGTTCCTTCATATATCAAAATTAGAAAATACTATAGCAGAAAAAAATCAATCTAATATTTCAGATTAAGATGATCCATTTCCACAGCCAATATTAAGTTCTTACCCAATAAAGTAACAATATTTTTCCTTAAAATGATCATCATTCATTGTCTAACCTGCTTATTTAAAGGCGAGAGTTTTACCTCTGCTTCCACTTTACACACGTATCATACAGAAAGCGCAAGGATAATGAAGTTATAAATGGAATAAAATAGACCAGTTTCCAGTAAACAAGGTATACAACCAGTGGAACTGGTTCAAAACCATCAAACTATTTGACGGAGAGACAATGTTTGAAAATCATGATCTCACACGACTCATGATCTCACATTTCTTAATAAAAATGCTCATCCCCAGTTAAAACAAAGAAAGAGCCAGCTATGTTTATTTGACAAATCGGACAGTGGAGTCGAGTTTATATCAAAGAATTGAGATGATATTAAAAATGATCTGGTCAATATAAATGCCCCCGTCAGAATATATGTGGCCTTAGAATTATGAACATTCTTTTACCGAATCGCATTAAATGATGGTCAATGTAAGAGTTAAATATCACTCTCAAGCATAAAGCAAAAGTAACAATTAATCTCTCTTCATCTTCAAACTCTAAACATAACCAGAAAAAATCATGTCTACGATCCTAGGTTAAAGTCAATAAACTGGACAGATATAATCAAGATTTTGATTGGACTCACAGCCTAATAAACATCGAATAGACATAAATTGTGTATCCCAATTGGGCAAAAGTGTGAAGAAAACCCTGAAGTCAGCTTTCGGTTTGATCAGTGTGGTGGAGAAGGCAGGTGGAGGAAAATATTGAAGGAAATTTGGCAGAGAAAAGGTACATTTATAATCCATCCGCCTACCATTTAATGCCAAACAACGGAAAGGAAATTGGTGTCTTTTAGAGAAAAATCATCTGTCTCATTTTGTACAATCCCTCCAACCAAAGAAAAGAGCTATAAGTATTAATGCACCACATGCAATAATATAAAGTAGCAGTTCAGCCTCGTAAAATGTAAAATTGAATATACAGAAGCTGGAAAGTAAAGCACCTAGAATATGTTAAATAACTTTCGCAAGTTGATATTTCTGGTGATGATTCAGAAAGCATTTTGCTTCCTCCTTTCGACTTGCTAGAAAAGTCAGAACTTGGAAAACCCTTATTGATGTTCGAGGTGGACATGGGCGAGTGACTTTCATGAAGAATGTTCCCATCTGACCATGACCTTTTAAATAACGACCTAAATATAGAAAACAAGAGAGCAAAATTTACCAGAACTTACAGAGGTGCACAATCACATTAATATCATGCAGCAGTTAAGAAAAATAGCATTCAAATTTTCCCACAACAACAATGCGAGAAGTGCATCTCGAATGATTAAAAAGTAATCCTATCTCAGTCTGATGGGAATATAGCTAAGGATCCTATATAGATTTTTATTCCACCAAACAAACTAAAAGTTGAAAGACAAGAAGGAAGATCAAGGTCCAAAAGCATCCACGAACAACTAGGTTAATTCCCCATATGATAAAAGAAGTGTTACAACATATAACTCAATACCACCTTACCTTCCATTTTCATCACTATTTGACTGTCCATTCCTTCCCACGTTGGAATGCTGGTCAGAATCCAGCTCCCATACATGAGCTTTACCTGGTTGAGGTTGAAAATGCCCCAAAAACCTGCTCAAATATTATCAACCGAACTGTTAGTTTAAGTGATCATTCCATCACCTTGAAAACTATACTGGAAGTAGTAAAAAAAAGAGTAACAAAAATCTTGGAAAAGGAGGAGATATCAACACTCTCTCAATGCTATTGAAGCATGTCGAGAACGGTATAAAGTACCCGGCAACATAGAAAATTTTCCTATAACGTCTCCTAAGTTCATCTTCACTACCCATATCACCTATAACCATATAAAAATTTTCAATAAGCATATGTAAGACCAGAACCACTACCAACTTACACATTGATGGCATTTTGCTTCTCCATATCCATGTAAGCATTGCTATAATATCTCTGTAGAGTTCTAAAAAATTCCTGGGACTGGGTTGCAGCTTTCCACTGACCCCTTCTC